CTTTTAAAATATCAGCCCTTCAAAGACTTCTAACTCACAGTAAAAGGGCATAATAGGACAAGTCTTGGGCTTCCCTGGCGCAGTGGTTGAGAATCTGCCTGCTAATGCAGGAGACATGGGTTTGAGCCCGGGTCTGGGAAGATCCCACATGCCACGGAGCAGCTAGGCCCCTGAGCCACAACTACTGAGCCTGCGTGTCTGGAGCCTGTGCTCCACAACAAGAGAGGCCGCGATAATGAAGAGGCCCGTGCACCGCGATGAAGAGTGGCCCCCGCTTGCCGCAACTAGAGAAAGCCCTCGCACAGAAATGAAGACCCAGCACAGCCAAAAATAAAAATATAAATAAATAAAAGATTACTATTTAAAAAAAAAAAAAAAGACATGTCTTCCTCTCCCTGAATCATTTCTTTGACTTTATTTCTTCCTATTTTGTAGGTCACATTGATTTTCTTTTCTTTTCTTTTCTTTTTTAAATTAGTTAATTAATTATTGGCTGAGTTGGGTCTTTGTTGCTGTGCACGGGTTTTCTCTAGCTGCGGCGAGCGGGGGCTACTCTTTCTTGCGCTGCACAGGCTTCTCATTGCGGTGGCTTCTCTTGTTGCGGAGCATGGGCTCCAGGCACACGGGTATCAGTAGTTGGGGCAGGCGGGCTCAGTAATTGCGGCTCGTGGGCTCTAGAGCGCAGGCTCAGTAGTTGTGGCGCACGGGCTTAACTGCTCCGAGGCACATGGGATCTTCCTGGACCGGGGCTCAAACCCGTGTCCCCTGCATTGGCAGGCAGATTCTTAACCACTGAGCCACCAGAGAAGTCCCAGGTAGTTTTCTTCTAATCCTAGTTTGTTGAGTATTTTTTTTTTATCATGAATGAGCATTGAATTTTATTAAATGCCTTTTCTGCATCAGTGGTGATGATCATGTGATTTTTATCCTTCATTCTGTGAATGTGGTATATTAAATTTATCTATTTTCATATGTTCATTTGTACTGAACAGTCCTGTGTTACAGTAATAAATCCCACTTGGTCATGGTAGTTTGTTTTGGTTGTTTTTTATTAATTAAGATATAATGACATAATAGCATTATATTAGTTTCAGCTGTTCAAAATAATGATTGATATTTATATTATGGTTTTTTAATATGATACTCAACTTGTTTTGCTGAATTTTGTTGAGGATTTTTGCATCAGTCTTTATAAAGGATATTGGTCTAGGACTTCCTTGGTGGCCCAGTGGTTAAGAATCCGCCTGCCAGTGCAGGGGACACAGGCTCAAGCCCTGGTCCGGGATGATGCCACATGCCGAGGAGCAGCTAAGCCAGTGTGCCTCAACTACTGAGCCTGCCCTCCGGAGCCTGCAAGCTGCAACTACTGAAGCCTGAATGCCTGGAGCCTGTGCTCTGCAGCAAAGGCCACCACAATGAGAAGCCTGTGCACTGCAACGAGCAATAGCCCCTACTCACTGCAACTAGAGAAAGCCTGCGCGCAGCAGTGAAGACCCAACATAGCCAAACATAAATAAATAAATTAAAATAACATAAAAAAGGATATTGGTCTGTAGCTTTTTCTTTGTCTGACTTTGGTATCAGTAATGCTGTCCTCAAAGAGTAAGTTCGAGAGTTTATTCCTCTTTAGTTTTTTTCGAAAAGTTTGAGAAGGAGTGGTGTTAGTTCTTCTTTAAATGTTTGGTACAATTTACCAGGGAAGCCACTGGGTCCTGGGCTTTTTTTTTTTTGGCCACGCCTCATGGCATGTGGGACCATAGTTTCCAGACCAGGGATTTGACCCGCACCCCCTGCATTAGAAGCGCAGAACCTTAACCACTGGACCTCCAGGGAAGTCCCTACAGGGCTTTTCTTTGTGGGGAGATTTTTTGATTACTCACAACTGATTCAGTTTCCTTACTAGTTATAGGTCTATTCACATATTCTGTTTCTATGTCATTTAGTCTTGGTAGGTTTTGTGTTTTTAGGACTTCGTCTGTTTCACCCGAGTTATCCTATTTGTTGGTGTACAACTGTTGCTACTGCTCTCATAATCCTTTTTATTTCTACAGGATCAGTACTTATGTCCCCACTTTTGTTACTTCCTTCCGTGTGTTACTGTTGGCATGTTATTTCTTTTTCATCCTCTTTCAGTCCCTTTTTTGAATTTGATCTGAAGTGTGTCTTCTAGACAGTGTAGTTGTATAATATTTTTTAATCTCTTCTGTCAATTTCTGCCTTTGAATTTTAAATCCATATACATTTTATGTAAATAGTGATAAGGTAGGATTGATATCTGTCATTTTGCTCTTTGTTTTTTATGTCTTGTATTTTTGTTCCTCTAATCCTTTGTTACTGCCTTCTTTTGTGTTAAACATTTTCTAGTGTAACATTTTTTTTTTAATTTTTTATTTTTTTAAAATTTGGTTTTTGGCTACGCCCCGCAGACGTACAGGATCTTAGTTCCGTGACCAGGGAATTAGCACCAATACGTTTCATCCAACTGGACATACAGAGATATTAGGGAAAGCTGTTGCTTTATGCGGGCCTCTCACTGTCGTGGCCTCTCCCATTTGCGGAGCACAGGCTCCGGACGCGCAGGCTCAGTGTGGCAGGCGGATTCTTAACCACTGTGCCACCAGGGAAGTCCAAGAGCTAGGTATTTTTTAAAGAGTTCATTTCTTGGGAATAGTGCCTCCTAATGTAAGCCTCTTGGAGAGATGTTAAGCAAGATGATGTAAATAAAATAAGATCTATATGGTTAAATGCAAGCTTTGCTCAGCTGAGGCTATAAGGGCACGTTACAGACTGCATTGTCTAAACTTTTTTGTTACATATCTACAAGTACTAGGATGTTGCATAGATTTTAGCTAGGTTGATTGCTCAAAGATGCATTTTTTTCTTCTGTCTGCAGAAAAGAAGCCTTAATGAGTTATTTTCTTGTTAAGTTACCCTTCTCCATAATAGACACATTTATTTCATATTGGGGATGCCTTTTGGTTCGCTAGTATCTCACCTTTTAACCATTAGCTTATAGCTGAGTTAAAACTACTTAGAACTATCACCTGTATAATCTGCTCTTGGTTCCAGAAAATAAGCTTAAATGAAGAATACAATTTCTTTTACATAAATGTGGTAAGGAAAATAGTAATTGTAATTGTTGTTAAGAATAGGCATGCAGGGCTTCCCTGGTGGCGCAGTGGTTGAGAATCTGCCTGCCAATGCAGGGGACACGGGTTCGAGCCCTGGTCTGGGAAGATCCCACATGCCGCGGAGCAACTGGGCCAGTGAGCCACAATTACTGAGCCTGCGTGTCGAGCCTGTGCTCCGCAACAAGAGAGGCCGCGATAGAGGCCTGCGCACTGCGATGAAGAGTGGCCCCCACTTGCCACAACTAGAGAAAGCCCTCGCACAGAAACGAAGACCCAACACAACCATAAATAAATAAATAATTTTTTTAAAAATTGGCTTGCACTTATTCAAAAAGTAGATCATCTTACATACCACACTGTGCTAAGTTGCAAGGAAACGAACAAGGTACATCCTCTTGAGAAACATGCTTTTTATACATAGGAATAGTGTGTGAAGGTAAAATACATCAACACTGCCCCTCACCTCCATTCTATCCAGGGTGATGGAATTAATGATTATTTCTGGTGCTTGTTAAATTCAGGCATTGGTCTAGGTGTTGGGGATAAAACAGTCTCTTTGGAGGACTTGAAAACTGAAAAGATGTGTAAAGTAAATATACATACACAAGGTGAGCTGGTTGGCTGGCTTTTGGGCTTCCCTGGTGGCGCAGTGATTGAGAGTCCGCCTGCAGATGCAGGGGACGCGGGTTCGTGCCCCGGTCCGGGAAGATCCCACGTGCCGCGGAGCGGCTGGGCCCGTGAGCCATGGCCGCCGAGCCTGCGCGTCCGGAGCCTGTGCTCCGCAATGGGAGAGGCCACGACAGTGAGAGGCCCGCATACCGCCAAAAAAAATAAAAAATAAAAAAAAAATAAATTTAGTTTTAAAGGAAGTCTATTTCATAGCAAAACTGGTGGTGCTGGCCCAGCACATATACATCCCTTGGAAGGTGGATTTGGAAATTCATTCTGGGTGCCCCACCCCTTGGGAGCAGGGGTGTGTCTCCATCTTCTAATTCCTCCCTCACCCAGCTGTAGTCTGTGGAATGAGTGGCCCTAAGGCCTTGGTAGTTCTATCTTTCCTCAGGGCCTGGGAGCTCATGTACCTACAGCTAGAATATTCAACTGCCTCAAACAACCGGGCCGTTTGGAAATTCCTGCAATCCCCACCCCCAAGTGCTGGGGGGCTGAGTGCATCCCGCTTTTTTTTGTTTGTTTTAATTATTTATTTAGGTTGCGCTGGGTCTTAGTTGCGGTTCGTGGGCTCCTCTGTTGTGGCATGCAAACTCTTAGTTTGCATGTGGGATCTAGTTCCCTGGCCAGGCATAGAACCCGGATCCCCTGCATTGGAAGTACGGATTCTTAACCACTGCACCACTAGGGAAGTCCCACATCCTGCTTTTTGAGCCCACTGTTTTCACCATCTGTCCTCACCTATCTCCGAAGGGTCACTACCTTAACTCAGTGACTGCAGACTCCAGGCTGGGAGAGTAGAGGGTTGGCCCAGAGTTTTCAGGCTCCAATAAAGCACCGTGCAGTCTGAGCCGCCTCGGCCTTTTGTGCATTCAGTATATGTTGGGTGTAAAATGGAGAATTTTTTCCCCTAAGTTTATGTAAAAATATATGCAAATAAAGCTGTAAGAAAACACTGCTAGCTGCTCTTCCTCACTCCTTGCCAACATGACTACCTTCATAGGTAAAAAATCGTCAATACATAAGCTGATCATTCCAGAAAAATGACTATTCCATGGGTAGTTAGGAACCAGCAGTTGCTTAGAAATTACATTAACTCCTATCACGGAGGGATTTAGATTTTATAACACTTAACTGGAAGCTACATTTCCATGTGAAAGGGCTTTCTTTGGTCTTACATCCAGTGGATAATATACTAGGGGCCTCAAAATCTGGCGCTTTTATGTTGTCGGGTGTCTCAAAACGTAGGCGGGGTCAAAAAGACTCCTTTACACCTTGGGGTATCTCCGACGGGAATAACAACTGCCCACCACCGCCTCCTACACGTGTTCAGATCCTGGGAAAGAAGGGAAAAACAAAAAGGGAAACTGCCAGGACTTAAGATGTCTGCTCAAAACCACTTAGATTTCCCAGGAAGGGCCTACCCGCTACCAAAATGTCCGTCCGCAGTCCTAACGTCACTTGGTAGGCTAGATCAAGCCAGAAAGCCTTTGCGCTCCAATCAGGGCTTAGCCCCCTCACCCACTGCCCTTGATTTGCGTCACTTCCGGTGGTGCAGCAGCCATTTTGTCAGTCGCCAGCGGATCCCGCGCGCTAGGGAAGTGCAGTTCCTCTTGGTTACCAATTCGTCCGTTCTCCCTCCACGGTGCGGGCGCCCTCGAAGAGCACTCACCACAGACACAGCCAGTCCTCCCTACAGTGCCGCCACTGCTGTTGCATCCGCCCGGAACTAGTGCGCTGTCTTCCTCCCTTGCCACTGACAGGCGCCCTCGGGGAGCCGCCGTCAGCGATGTCAAGCGAGGAAAGCTACCAGGCCATCCTGCGCTACCTGACGAACGAGTGCGAGCCGTACGCGCCGGGCACCGAGGGTAATGTCAAGCGTAAAATCCGCAAGGCGGCCGCCTGCTACGTGGTGCGCGACGGAACGCTGTATTACCAGCGGAGGCAGCGGCACCGCAAGACCTTCGCCGAGCTGGAGGTGGTGCTGCAGCCCGAGCGGCGCCGGGGGCTTATCGAGGCTGCGCACCTGGGCCCGGGCGGCACTCACCACACCCAGCATCAGACCTGGCACGACTTGTCCAAGACGTACTGGTGGCGAGGTAAGACCTCGCCCGCGGTAAGGGGGAGGGCGGGTGGCTAGCTCCCAGAAAAGGCCTGCAGCCGGAGGCGGGCCCGTCTGGGCACCCGCGAGTGTGAGGGTCCGGCACCCTCCTCCCGGACGCCGCTCGCGGGCCCAGCCTAGCCCGTGCCCGGCGGTGGAGCAGGTGCCAGGCGGAGCCGAGAGGGTGGGGGACGCGAAAGGAGCCGCACTTCCCACAGGAAGGAGGCTGGGGAAGCTGGGGGCGGGCCCTGGCCCGGGGTGGGGCGAAGGGGGCTTCCCCGGGGGCCGGCCCAGCCGCGGGGAGGGGCCGGGACGCGCGGGGTGCGCTGGGCCCGCAAGCTGGGGGCGGGACCTGGCCCGGGGTGGGGCGAAGGGGGCTTCCCCGGGGGCCGGCCCAGCCGCGGGGAGGGGCCGGGACGCGCGGGGTGCGCTGGGCCCGCCTCCTTCGGCGGCGCGGGAGGCGGTGGCTTCTTCCCTTTGCGGACGCTTTTGGGCGGCCGTTGCAGGTGCTGTGTGTGTGCGTTTAAAAATCCTGTTTGTGCGGATGGTTTGGGAGCGGCGCGGTCCGCCCAGAGCCCGGCCGCTTTCTGCAGTGCGTTCCGCTAGGGTGTTGGCCAGCGGTTTTGAGCTTCTGCTGATTCGCTTGCCGGGGTTCCTCTTCGTGCTACTGCGGCGTGAATAAGGAATCATACAATTGTGTGCAGAAGTGATTTCGAGTGACTGTGTGGAAACAGTCATTTGAGCCTAGTTTTTAGGACAAGAATTTTAATAGCAGGTACTCTCAATTCTGGGTATTTTAATATTCTTCCGTTTGCTGTAGTGAAGAGCGATTTGGACACTGTGAGGCACTATGTATACCCAGAAAAGATGCGGTTTCTGGGACTGTTATGGTCCGGGAGTGTGGCTTTAAAGTTTGACTCCTTGGGAACCAGGTTAGGGAAGGAGAGAAAGGGCCCTTCGGGTTTTTGTTTTTTACCGTCCTCACTCTCCAAAAAGTTGATGAATATTCAAACTGTTCGGGTATAATTAGTAAAAGTTTGCAGACCTATAGAAGAGGTTTCGTCAGGAACGATTCCGTATGGTTCTGCAGAAATTAACTTATGGAACTTATCTGTGAGTAAGGAAGTTAGACTACTGAATATGAACTTTTCTGGACAGGTCTTTTTGCTTCTTAAATAATATTTTCGTGTTTTCAAAAACAGTCCAGCTCTCTATATTCTTCTTAAAAGCTTTTCCTTATTTTATATTTTAAACCAATATCTGATTTAAATTCCTATAGCGACATGACTGAAGGGTAAATATGGAGTAATTGCTGCATTTTGTTAGGATTGATTTGGTCAGACATAGTTTTGTTGAACAAATGTCTCAGGTTTAATATTTTATGACATGTTAAAACGGTAATTATAGCTAAAGCTAACACGGATCAAGCTTTTACCTGCAGGCATAGTGCTGAGCACTTAATTTAATTTTACATAGTATTTAATCCTCATCAAACCTTGTAAGATGGAAACATTTATGTCTCTGTTTTACAGATGGGAAAACTAAAAGCACCAGGAGCTGACCTTTGGGATTTCAAACTTTTCTTAATCACTATTATATGGTGCTAAATGGGCTTAGTGTTCAGAATTTTCCTTCCCTAAATTGATTATCTGTGAGTGATATCTAATCCAGTATTTTGTTTGTTTGATTTTTGTTTTAGTGTGCAGTGTCTTAAAAGACAAAAAAAAAAAAAAACCTGAGACTGTGTTGATTTTTTTTTTTTTAATGAGAGATACATTTGTGGTTAAGTAGACTTTTGAAGTCCTTAAATGTCCAGAACAGCAGTTCTCTAAATTTGGTACTAAACCCCTGAACAGGGAGGCCCTGAGATCCTTACAGAGAATCCCCAAAGTCAAAATTATATTCATAATAATACTAAGGCATTATTTGCCTTTTCACTTATTGTATCTCAAGTATACAGTGGAGTTTTCCAGAGGCTACATGACATGTGATAATATGGCAATAGATTGAATGCATATATGATAATCTGTCTTCTGTTAAACCACACATTAAAAAGACTTGCAAAAATGTAAAGTAGCGCACTTTTCTCACTAATTTTTTTTATGTTTTGGTAAATAGTATTTTTCGTATAAATGCTATTTTTGTTAATATGTAATGGGTTTATGATACTACTTTATATCATTATTTTTATTATTTTAATATTTTTTCATTTAAAATGAGAATTCATAGTCAGTAAGCATCAGAGAAGTTTGCCCTCGATTATTAGCTATTCATTTTGATGTTTATTACATTAGCACTTTGCTCGTTTTACTTGTTTGTTATAGGCCTATTAAAATTATCAACACTGGGGACTTCCCTGGTGGTTCAGTGGTTAAGACTCCTCGCTTCCACAGCAAGGGGCGTGGGTTCAATCTCTGGTTGGGGAACCAAGATCCTGCATGCTGCTCGGGACTGCCAAAAGGAAGAGAAAAAAAAAATGAACAACGCTGCATAGACAGAAAAATAAACATTCTTGGACCTGGAACTGATAGCTGATAAAACATTTTTAACTATCAGTTTTTAATGTGTCATACACTACAAATGGACCCTTTTTATAATAAACATACTCCAAAGCCCTGTAGATGTTTATCTGGGAATTAATAAGATCTAATCAGTGTAGATGCCAAGAAGAAAACGATTCCAAAGTCAGGGATAGTTTACTGGGACTTATTATATATGCTGCTTTTTCTAGAATGTTGCCATCATAAGCACTGCCATTATATCCTGGTAATCAAGCAAGTTTGTAGCAACTTCACTTGTTTGAGCACAGTGAAAAACTGGCTCAGTGCCTAAAGTTGACATATAGCAAATTTATTTCAGAACGTAAAATGTTAATAGATAGTCTCACTCTCTCAACCCCTTATTTTATCCTGTATTGTAGTTATATGCTGGAGTTTCAAAATAAATGACTCTCTCCCCTGCCTCAGTCAAATGCTGACTTACGGGGATCTACAATTAATGCAGAATGTGAAGAGAAAATTAAATTAGTAGGAAAAAAGATTAAACTAGGAAAATTATGTAATAGGTTAAATTAGCTACCTGCAGAGGTTCCTACCCTAAGAACTGATTTGTTTTATGGGGATAAATTGATGCTGCCATTATCTAATCTAGAAGAGGAGGGTGTAATTTTCTGAAAACCCAGCAAGAACTGGGTCCATGTTAATACAGCTATAACTGATCACTTTGTAACCTCTTTGAAGAAAAAAACAAAAAATCTGAATGACTAATATGCGTGGAGAAATAGAAATAGGAGCCACTATCCTCTGGGCCTCATCACTGATAGGGAGGGAGGGAGGTTCTTGAACAGCTAACAGGAGCAAATTGTTCAATTTGGCAGATCTCTAGAGTAGGGGTTCTCAACCCTGGACAGTTTTGCCTCCCAGGGAACATCTGACTATGTCTGGAGACAATATTGGTTGTCATAACTGGTGGTGGTGTTTGAGGGGCTGCTCTTGACATCTGGTTAGGTAGAGGTCAGGAATGCTCCTAAACATTCCACAGTGCACAGGACAGGACAGCCTACCCACCCCTCCCTGCCCCACAAAAAGAATCATCTGGCCCAAAATGTCAACACTGCTGAGGTTGGGAAATGCTGCTCTAGAGTGAGAATCTGTTCCTCAAGTTGTTTTATCAGAGGTTGTTTACCCACTAAGTCTATGCTCAGTAAAGAACCTCTTAATGCTAATTTGGTATTTTATGTGGACTTTCTTTTTGGGGGGGTGGGCTGCGTTGGGTCTTTGTTGCTGCGCGTGTGCTTTCTCTAGTTGCAGCGAGCGGGGGCTTCTTTTGGTTTCAGCGCGCAGGCTTCTCATTGTGGTAGCTTCTCTTGTTGCGGAGCACAGGCTCTAGGCATTCAGGCTTCAGTAGATGTGGCACGTGGGCTCAGTAGTTGTAGCACATGGGTTTAGTTGCTCCGCAGCATGTGGGATCTTCCTGGACCAGGGCTTGAACCTGTGTCCCCTGCATTGGCAGGTGGGTTCTTAACCACTGTGCCACCAGAGAAGTCCCCTACGTGGACGTTTTTATGGAGGTTGACCATTGAGCATCATTTAACGCTTACGTAGTAGTTACCTTGTCTCAGACACTGTTGAAAGTGATTTATAAATATTAACCTTTTATCATTATAACGTGCTGTGAAGGTAAGTGCTGTTATCGCCATTTTGGCACAGAGAGGTTAGGTGGCTTGGACATGGTCACAAAGCTAGTCAGTGGATTCAAATTTTCCTGCATAAAGTAATTTCTACCCCTTGTGGTAATTACCCACTCTTAAAATAGTAAGTTAACTATGTTTACACATTTATGTCTTTTCAGTGATTAATTTGAGTCAGATTCTTTCAGCTTAATCAGCTATGGGCAAGCTAAAGAGGTCAGGTTCATGAATCTGTAAAGCTAGATTTAAGATGGATCCCATCAAAACACTAACACTAGAGTTAAAGGACTTCTAAAATACGATAGGATGATTTTTTCAGACAGTTGATCGACTGTCATACATTAATATCTTTTTTTTCTATAAATTTATTTATTTTTATTTTTGGCTGCATTGGGTCTTCGTTGCTGTGCGCGGGCTTTCTCTAGTTGCAGCGAGTGGGGGCTACTCTTCATTGCGGTGAGTGGACTTCTCATTGCAGTGGCTTCTCTTGTTGCGGAGCAAGGGCTGTAGGCATACAGGTTTCAGTAGTTGCGGCACGCGGGCTCAGCAGTTGTGGCGCATGGGCTTAGTTGCTCCGCGGCATGTGGGATCTTCCCGGACCAGGGCTTGAACCCGTGTCCCCTACATTGGCAGGTGGATTCTTAACCACTGCACCACCAGGGAAGTCCCGAGAATATAATTTTCCGAATTTATTAGTCCAGTGTGTACTTCTTTTAGTAAGTATGGGATATAATACAATTTGAGAAATATTGCTTAAATACCATCTGAAGGTTGAAGTGCAAGTAACTTGGTATAATTTATCATCTTGAAACTCTTTTCAGGAATTTTCTATATACCTCTGTATAATTTTAGCTAATTAACAGCCTTTTCATTTGCATTTTACTTGGGGATTGTGGGGGAAGAAGTTTCTGTCACAGGGATGGATAAATGTGTTCCTGGGTAAGTAGCATAGTATCCTGAAAGTCACATGACTTCTGGAGGCCCACTTATGCAGTTTACTAGATGTGACTTTGGACAGGTTACCTCTTAGGGCTTCATTCTCCTTGTCTGTAGAATGGGAATTAATTGGTCCTCCCTTACAAGTATGATGGAGAAGGGGGAGTGTGTGTTAAGTGTTCCTCCCTGCTTCCTACCCCATCCCAACATGTTGAGTTGAAAGTTGAAATTCAAGGGGCTTCCCTGGTGGCGCAGTGGTTGAGAGTCCGCCTGACGATGCAGGGTACACGGGTTCGTGCCCCGGTCCGGGAAGATCCCACGTGCCGCGGAGCGGCTGGTCCCGTGAGCCATGGCCGCGGAGCCTGCGTGTCCGGAGCCTGCGCTCCGCAACGGGAGAGGCCGCAACAGTGAGAGGCCCGCGTACCGCAAAAAAAAAAAAAAAGAAAAAGAAAGAAAGTTGAAATTCAAAATAGGGTTTTATGAGTGGCTCGTGTATAATCAACTTTTGATAGATTGTGTATACTGTTATTTAATAAAAGCTCATAGCTTTCAAAGACAAGAGATCTATTTTACACTCATTACAGGTTTTGGTTGTGGTCCTTTTCAGGTTGCAGATTGGCTCCACCTGTTTTTTTCATCTACATTTCAGGCTAAAGGGCAGTATCCATCTGGAACATGCTGCTCTTTGACAGAGGGGACATAAGTCAGGGAACCGATGGGAAACATTGCTTCTTAAAGCTTCTAGTGACACATGGCATCCATCATATTCATTCATATTCCATTGACCAAAGCTAAATTGCATGGTGAAGTCTGATGTTAGTAGGGTGGAGAGTTATTAGCGTGAACCACATTATTATATTACTGTTTATGAAGGTCAAGAACAGTTGAATATTGGCAATTTCATATAGTTTCTATTGCATGAGTGAGTTGAAACTCACATGGAGATGGATGGTGCTACATAATCGTACGGTGAGTAAATGAATAACTAAGAGTGAACAACAAAACAGTCTACCTCGGCATGGAGACAAATTGTCATTATAACATATCTTTGAAAAAAAATGTATCTTAAATTCTAAATAATTCACTCTACATACTTTATGGGCATGTGTGTGTCTGTATACATGCACTTGAATATACATTAGTATACACAGATTAAATAATGAACAGTATAATCTTCAGTTTTCACATGAGAGCAGTATTAAATTTAACTAGTTAATTTTTGTTTCATTGTAGGTATATTAAAGCAAGTCAAAGATTACATTAAACAGTGTAGCAAATGCCAGGAGAAACTAGATCGATCCCGTCCTATATCAGATACTTCAGAAATGTTGGAAGAATTGGGACTAGACCTTGAATCTGGAGAAGAAAGTAATGAATCAGAGGATGACCTAAGCAACTTTACTTCGCCTCCAACTACAGCTTCCAAGCCTGCAAAAAAGAAGCCAGTATCCAAACATGAACTTGTATTTGTAAGTGGAACTTTCCATTCAGCTTAACATTTGTAACTAGTGTGTTAGTATTTATAGTCTTAACTGAATATTTTCTTAAACCACTAAAACTGCTTCCCTTTTGGCACTGTCATTGTCATGTTGTTATACGCCCTAAAAGTTTGCTAATACTGCCTCTTCCTTAATCATAAGTATTCCTGTTGTTTCTTCTCATCAGAATTTAACTTGTTGGTCTGTTGTTAATTATTCCTCCTCTCTTCCTTTTAATAGTATATTGGTACAGGTAGACAATACATTTCTGGAAGCAGTCTCTGGGTCATGCAGCAAGGTAAAATTAAGCTGACTAGGTCTTTGTTTTTTGCCTGCATTAGTTTCTTATATCATCAAATAAATTTCTGACTAATAAGAGGAGGCAGCAAGAAGTGAGATGCAGATTTTCATTGGGTCAAGTAGAATGAACATAGCAGAAGATAGTGAGAACAACGTATCATTTTGTTTAAATACATAGGTAATAAAGAATATCAGTTTATTTCTTCATATTAGTGGAATCTTTTACAAGGGAATAATGTGTCTTGTTTTAAATTCTGTTAAGGGTAAAAATACAGATGATATGTAATGCAACTCTTGGTCTCAAACTTATTTTGATAGGTTGACACCAAAGGAGTGGTGAAACGTTCTTCTCCAAAACATTGTCAGGCTGTCTTAAAACAGCTGAATGAACAGAGACTCTCTAACCAGTTCTGTGATGTTACTTTGTTAATTGAAGGAGAAGAGTACAAAGCTCATAAATCTGTTCTGTCAGCTAATAGCGAATATTTTCGAGATCTTTTTATTGAGAAAGGAGCTGTTTCCAGTCATGAGGCAGTGGTGGATCTTTCTGGTAAGAATTTTCTGATATTCTTGTTTTTTGTTAATAAGTATATACTGGAAGAGGGGTGTGTATATCTTACAAACTCAGGTTTTATGCTCAAGTGGGAGAAGCCCACTTACAGAAACAGACTAAGCTGAACTGTAAGGTCCTTCCTTTTAGTAGGGTTTCCAGGATAGAGTTATGAAAAGGCTGTCATTTCCTATCACTACCTGTTAGGGGAGACGATTGTAGCAGTAGTAGAATTTCTGGGATTTACACTGTTAAAAACAGTTTGAGAGAAATCCATAATTGCATCAGTGTTATTACACTAAGTAAATATATTACTTTAAAATTGACTGCCTGAATCTTATGTTGTGCAACATGAAATTTAGAGCACTTATGTAGGTCTGTTGTTTTTCATTTTTTAAGATTAATAATCGTAATTCATTAGATTTGATAATCAAATTGTCAGTATAGAATAATCAGAATTCCAGGTGTGGTTTTTTGGTTTCTTTGGGGCTGCTGCTGTTGTTGTTATTATTGTAAATGAATAATTTGACTTTCTTTTGGCCTCACTAGAATTTATGTATTGGCTTAGGAGTCAACAAATGAAAATTTAGGAAGCATTAAAATAGGTAACCTTATTTATACATTTCCTCATAATATTAATTTGCTGTAATTCTTGAATTACTGACACCACTGTGTGAAATGTCATTTCCCCTTTCTTAAACAAAAAAATGACTTTATCCAGATATATAAATACTTACCTAGTTAACCACTGATCCTTTTCTACCTTATACTTGTTAAAACTCACCTTCTCTGGAAAGACAAATTCATATATTTTTCCTTAACAGTAGCTATATGTTTAATTACTAAAAAATGTTTCTCAAGCATCCATTGTGTGCAAGGAACTGGCCTGGGCTATGGGGATACAGTGGTGAACAAAAACTTTTACAGAGCATAGAGTTGCATTACATTCTAGATTCGTGATATTTACTTTGGTGACTCAGAGGAGAAAATACATCTTATTTCTGGGCCATCTGAGTAATAAAACCTATCACAAGTATAGTCTTGAGGTGTTAGCTTTGGAATGTTTTTCTTATCTTTCATGCATCTTTTTTTTTTTTTTTTTTTTGCGGTACGCGGGCCTCTCACTGTTGTGGCCTCTCCCGTTGCGGAGCACAGGCTCCAGACGCAAAGGCCCAGCAGCCACTGGCACGGGCCACGGGCCACGGGCCACGGGCCCAGCCGCTCTGCGACATGTGGGATATTCCCAGACCGGGGCACGAACCCGCGTCCCCTGCATCGGCAGGCGGACTCTCAACCACTGTGCCACCAGGGAAGCCCTCATGCATCTTTTATGCATCTGAAGCAGAAAGAAGAGTGTGTTGCTCTTTTCCAGTTTCTCAGCAGCTTATAACAGCAAATGAAATGTCTGCCCCAAAATAACTGCAGCACAGCATTCTATTATTCCAACAAAATATCTCATTTATTCTTCATTCCATATGCTTATTTTTATATATTGTTCAGCAAATATGGTGTAAACCAATAGCAGGTAAAGTAGACACTGTTAAAAATTTTGTTTGATTTTTAAATATTTAGTAGATAGACTAATTGTAAAATATGTGTAATTTATAAAAAAGCAATGGTAACTGACATCTATTTTCTAACTACCTAGTTTAATGGTTGTTGAATTCATCAGTGTTTTCCTTTATGTTGTTTATGCTTTAAAAAAAAATTCTTCCCTACTCAGTCGTAAAGATATTTTTATGTACTGCCTTATAGTTTTTCTTTCATATTTAACTTTTAATCTATTTGGAATTTTTTTTTTGATAGTGTGAGATAGGTGTTTGATTTCATTTTTTCCCATTTTGTTTCAGAACCATTTAGTGAAAACTCCCTTCTCTTTCTATCCATCAGCCATGCAAATTCTCTTAAAAAACACATTTTCATATGTTTGGTACTGATTATAAGCTTTTTTCCAGTCTATTGGTTGTCTCTTACCACAATATTATTGCTTGGTCTTAATGACCTTAGCTTTATAATGAAAGTCTCCCACCTTAATTATTCAGGTGGGTCTTAGTTATTCATAACTCTTCGCTGTTCCATATAAACTATTTAAAGCAGCTTGTCTACTTCCATAAAAAGAAGAAAAATGTATTTTGTTAGGGATTACATCGAATTAATAAAGTTTTAGAGGTTTTTCCATAAAAGTCTCACACATCTTTTGTTAGATTATTCTAAGGTAGTTTATACTTTTTGATACTATTATAATTTTTTTTCTTAAAATTACATTATTTCTGATTTATTTTTGGTAACTGTTGATTCTATAAACAGTAGTACTATATATAGAATCAACAAAGTAGTACTGTATATAGAGTACTGTATATAGTAGTACTGTATATAGAATCAACAAAGAATCTATAGATAAATGTCCGAATGACTACTAGTCATTCAGACATTTATACTCTTTGAGATTTTCCATATAAAACAAATATTGAATATATTAATATATTATCTGCTAATAGTAATGTTTTTTTTCCCTACCTTTCCAGTCCTTATATTTTGAACTTTTTTCTTCTTGCTTTACAGTGCTGTTTAGGACTTCAAAAAAACCCCAGCAGTTAAATAGAGGTAGTGATAGAGGGTTCACTTATTCCCATGGTAAAGAAAGACATGGGAATACTTTTTTTTCTTTTTTAACCGTGAAGTATATTATTTGGTGAATGTTTTAAATAGATAACCCTTTACCCCCTTTAACATTAAGGAAATTCCCTCTGAAATAGGTGTGGACTTACCACATACTTTTTCTGTATCCGTTGAGACCATCTTTATTTTTTTCATTAATGTGGGAAATTACATTGGTTTACTAATGTTAACTCAAATTTTCATTCCTGAGATAAATCCAGTTTAGTCATAATATATCAACTTTTGTACAAACTGCTGTGTTTAGTTTAGAATGCTAATATTGTTGACTGTTTCCAAGTGTATTCATGAGTAATTTTCCTTTTTCACACTGTTTCTGTCATGTTTTGATATCAGAGTTGGTTTAGTCTTATAGATTGTGTATTCCCTCCAATTTTTTACATGCACCGAAGTAGTTACTATGAGATTAGAATTATTTGTTTCTTGAATATTTGGTAGAATGATGGCTAAAATTGACGGGACTTTTGGGGGAAGATTTTTAGGTACTAATTCGACAAGTTTAATGGTTAAGGCATTATTCTGTAGGTTTCTATTTCATCTTGAGTAATTTATAGAAAGTTTTGCCATAATATGTCCATTTCATCTAAATTTTCAAGTTTCTTGGCACAATTTTGTTGTTGGTGGTGGTGGTGCCATGCAGCCTGCGGGATCTTAGATCCCCAACCACGGACTGAACCTGGACCCTCGGCAGTGAAAGCGCAGAGTCCTAACCACTGGACTGCCAAGGAATTCCAGCACAGAATTTTTAATATTCTATTCTAAATGCCTCCAGTGACTGTAGATTTGTCTCTTTCGTTCCTTCTGCCTTCTCTCTCATTTCTGAATTTTTTTTACTAGAGATTTACTGACTTTTTAAAAAAAAAGTTGGCAGACTATAGCTTGTAGGCCAAATCTGGCCCACTGCCTGCTTTTGTAAATAAAGTTTTATTGGGAGATAGCAACACCCATGTATTTATATATTGTCTGTGGCTGCTTTTGAGCCTACAAGGGCAGAATTGAATAGTTGCTACATAAACTAGTGACCCACAAAACCTAAAATATTTGCTTATCTTGCTCTTTACAGAAAAACTTTCCTAAGCCCTATGCCAAAGCATAATTTTTTAAATGTTAAAAACCTAACTTTTATGCAAATACTATAGTATAAGGTTTTATATGATTAATTTAGGAAACCAGTAAGATGTTAAAACTGCTTCTAATAGAATTCTGAAGAAAAGAATTGTATATATTGTCTTTCAACCAGAGGAATGAATTTGCTCAAAATGAGTTTGTTAACAGATTGGTTAATACCCTATAGAGAAATGAACTGTAAGTTTTGGAGTTATCTTTCCTACCCTGATAGAAAAAGCTTCTTAATCTTTCACATTTCATTTGCATTTGCAGTTAATTTTCTGTAAGTTAATTTTTAGAGTTGTAAAATAATCTAGTCAATAGCAGTCAATCAGTGGTGCCTGCTCAACACTACTTTTTTTTTAATTCTAATTAATTAATTAATTTATTTATTTATTTTGGCTGCGTTGGGTCTGTTGCTGTGCATGGGCTTTCTCTAGTTGCAGCGAGCAGGGGCTACTCTTTGTTGCGGTGTGTGAGCTTCTCACTGCAGTGGCTTCTCGTTGTGGAGCACAGCCTCTAGGCACACAGTCTTCAGTAGCTGTGGCACGCGGGCTCAGTAGTTGTGGCACACGGGCTTAGTTGCTCCACGGCATTTGGGATCTTCCTGGACCAGGGCTTGAACCCATGTCCCCTGCATTGGCAGGCGGATTCTTAACCACTGTACCACCAGGGAAGTCCCTCAACACTACTCTTAAAGAACACCTGACTACAAGGATATATTATACAGCACAGAAAATATAGCCAATATTTTACAGTAACTATAAATGGAGCATAACCTTTAAAAATTGTGGAACACTATGTTGTATACTTGAAAGTTATATAATACTGTACATACACTGTACCTCGATAAACAAAAACCCAATATTTTTGCCTGATAACCAAATTTTTTTTTATTGAAGTAGAGTTGGTTTACAATGTTGTGTTAATTTCTGATGTACAGCAAAGTGATTCAGTTATACATATATATAAATTCTTTTTTTTTTTTCTGTACACGGGCCTCTCACTGTTGTGGCCTCTCCTGCTGCAGAGCACAGGCTCCAGACGCACAGGCTAAGCGGCCATGATTCACGGGCCCAGCCGCTCCGCGGCATGTGGGGTCTTCCTGGACCGGGGCACGACCCCATGTCCCCTGCATCGGCAGGCAGACTCTCAACCACTACGCCACCAGAGAAGGCCCCTATACATTCTTTCTTAATCTTTTCCATTATGATTTA